CGTGAATTAGACTGCTGGCAATTGATAAGTCTCCTTGTTTTTTTCTTTACAAGTTAGAAACAGACGAGACGCCTTTATGTGTTTGTAGCCGTTGTTTCAGTTTTAAAGCTATTAAAACCTTGCCTAGATTTTCAAAATACCATCATTTTTTGATAGTTTGGAGAAATCGAAGGAAACTTCTTTGGAACGAAGCTGAAAACCATTCGCCGGATTGTGCACTCGGGAAAAACCTGCCTCCTCGATTGTAACGCCTCTGCCATTCAGCTTATACGTACGGCCGAATTTATGCCTTATGTGGTCTTTTTGGCAGCACCGTCGGTCAGTTGCCTAAAAGCCATGTATGAGTACGGACGAAGCATGGGCTTCTGTGAAACTTGGAAACGTGTAAGTGGTGCACTTGATTTACTAATTAATAGCTACTTAAATAGTACAAGTAGATATATTTAAACAAGTGTTAATCTTCCTAGGACGAAGACTTCCGGCGTACATTGGACCAAAGTCGTGAGATTGAACGGGACTATCGTCATCTTTTTGACAAAATATTCATCTGTGATAATATCGAAGTGACTTTTGACGCGCTGAGAAGACACCTAGACAGCTTGTTGACGGAGCCACAGTGGGTACCGGCGAAATGGCTGTACTAGACTGAACAAAGAGAATCACGCACTTCCAATCTGTTGCTTTCCCTCTCATCAAGAATCCTTTTCCTACATGCATTTTTAGCCCATGGATGTTTTTATTTGAAGTGTACATATCCGAAAATGATCTAAGGAAAGTAAATCAACCACTTTAACTGTAGCCGGGTCATATTTACCTAGTTGCCAGTCCATATGTATTGCATTTTAAATGGTTTGCGCCAGATGTATGCGCAGAAAGTTGATTCTTATTTGCTAGTTGGTTTGGTGTAGTTTTTCCCACATTTTTAATCCGACGGAACCAACACTGTTCTAATCTGGGCTCGTGTTACCTCACAAATACTATCATCCACAGCCCCGCAACCTCCCTCCAGATTTTATGACTTCCTGTGAGCTGTTTTGTAAGAAATTGTGAATACTGACCTACTGTGATCTTTCTGCCCGACCTTTACTTCAGATGAGCGGATCAATGTACTTGTGCTGGGTGTGCTGTTCCGAATCTGTCACCTGGCTTTAAAAGTACAGATTTTATACGTTGTCAATTAACGGGATCATTTGGCCCTCGGAATTTTTATTACGGCTGGAATGGGTCCCTGTAACTGATTTGATATTACTAAGTTGCTTTTGGCAGATTTGGTTAATTTAGTTGACCCAATTGTGAAAAAACTCGCGGC